GAACAGGACTCTCCAGAACACCATGCGCAAGCTGCTACGTGGCATGCAGCTACCCAACCACCAATGGTCCGAAGCAATGGACCACGCTGTCATGCTGCACAACTTTCTCGTCATCATCGCTCCTGAACAACGCATCACCACACCTGCTGTGGACAGGAAAACAGGGCAGCACAAAAATGTTGAAAGTCTTCGGCTGCATGGTACGGTACCAACCCCCAGCTGCACGAGCCGGCCGATTCTCCCAACGCGCACAGTGGGGTCTACACCTGGGCATTGAAAAGAATTACAACGCGTGGAAGATTTTCGACGTCCACTCAAAGGAAACAGTAGCAGCACGTGATGTCATTTTCTACGAGCGACTCAAACTTCCGACGTACCTTCCAACCTGGAAGAAGACCGGGACCCAACAGGTGGTTTTCATGGTGACCGAGCCTTCGCCTCGGCAGCAGACGAAGCTGACTGGGACGAGCATAACGTAGATGAAGCCTCGGAGGAAGCCGGACCTCTCCCTTACTGCTCTGTCGACGTCCCAATGGATGACGAAAATCCTCGCGAAAGCGTCAACGCTGAAGTATATTACCACTTCGCCGACAACGGTTACGTTACACCTTCAAGAGTCAACACCAACGAAGCAGAACGCATAGGGCCCAATTTCATACCTGACCCAGAAGCGGACGACGAAGCAGCTTATCCCGAGGACACGACACTTCCCCGCTACACACAGAGTGGCCTCCAAATACTCGGCCTCGTCACCACGGTCCACGGCAGAGCGATTCCTAAGGAGCCTGCCACAGTTCAGCAGGCTCTGGGGGGGGAGCATAGGGAAAAATGGCGCGAAGCCATGGACAAGGAGCTGAAAGCGCTGGAAGAACGAAACACCTAGAAATTCGTCCCCATCGGCGTGGCACGCAACAAAACGGTACTCACCGAAAAATGGGTCTTCCGTGTAAAAACAAAGGCAGACGGCACCATTGACAAGTTTAAGGCACGCTGGGTCGTGCGCGGTTTCGACCAAGAGCACGGACACGACTTCACCGAAACATTCGCTCCGGTCAGCCGACATACCTCATTGCGAATTCTCCTCGCAGTAGCCGCCATGAAGAAGAAGAAGCTGTGGCAAAACGACGCCGCCAATGCCTTTCTCTATGCACCTGTTGACGCCGAAATCTTCGTCGAACCACCACACGGCTCCAACGGAGAGCCCAACCAAGTCTGTCAGCTGCTCAAGTCCCTGTACGGTATTAAACAGGCCCCGAGACTGTGGCAATAGTACTTGCACGCTAGACTCATCCGCATCGGATTCCGCCGACTACCGCACGACCAGGGTATGTACCGGCTCACGAAAGGCGGCGACTACATCTTACTGATCGTCTATGTAGATGACCTACTCTACATTGGTTCGACCGACAGCGTTAGTACCTGGTTCGAAGGGGAGCTGCAGCAGGATCTTACTCTCACAGTGTCATCGACCGTCACGCAATACCTCGGTCTCAACATTCAGGAAGAAGAAACCGCAATCTACCTCAGCGCTGCGAAGTACGCCGACACCATTGCCAAACGCTTCGGACTCACCCCAACCGCCATCTCAACGCCATACCGCTACACTACCGGAAATCACAGGGAAAGCTCCACTCCGCTCAAGTCCGCAGGCATACGCGAATATCAGAGAAAGCTGGGATGTCTCCTCTTCGCAGCTGTTACCTGTCGTCCGGATCTATCATACTCTGCAAGCCAACTCGCCACCTACCTCAAGAAACCTGAAGCGGAACACCTGGCGGAGCTCGACCGCGCTCTTCACTACCTTGTCAGCACCCCAACGATTGGCCTAACCTATCACAAGAGCGGAACTACAACGCCTAAGTTAATCGGCTACGTCGACGCTGACCACGCTGGAGACTCTGACAATAGGCGCTCGCGCACCGGCTACATCTACCGACTCGAACCTATCGGACCCATCTCATGGCAGTCGAGCAAGCAGGAGCTAATCGCCCTCTCCTCGGCTGAAGCAGAATATATCGCACTCTGCTCAGCCACCAAGGAAGGACTATACCTTCGCGAACTACTGGAAGAAGCGAAGCTGGCTCAGTTACCCAGCTTCTCTCTGTTTTGCGACAACCAGTCTGCAATTCGCATCGCGAACAAAAACGGATTCGCGAACAGGACGAAGCACATTGTCCTGCGATATTTCTTCGTGAAGGACGAGATCGAGAAAGGAAGACTCGAGCTGTCATACTACCCCACGTCCGAGATGGCAGCTGACTACTTGACCAAGAAACTCGGAAAGCAGAAGTTCGAGTACTGCATGCTGCTGACTGGACAGAGCCACGTCACTAGCAGCGACACTCCAGAAGCGAAGGGGAGTGTTGGAAACAAGCAATTTGAACGCTTCTGTTATGTGTCGAAACACTAAGTCGTAAACGAGGCGAAGCACAGCGACGCATCGGCGAGTCAACACTTGGAGGTTGAGAAGTGAAGAAACCGCTGGAGGTTACGCGAAAGTCAAAGGTCAGCGACCTTTGACCTGACAAGTACAGCGCGACAGCAAGGACAAACAACTGACTCGTTATTGAGCAGTTGCCCGAGTCGTCACTGTATCGAACCGCAACAGCAACAGTAAAACAGTTATTAGTTGCATCTTTTCATATTCCTTGTACTCTTATAAAAGCCTTGTATCTCTTTGATTAATCAATCTACTTTGCCCTCACATACCAGCGCAAGGTGGTTCAAAGACTTATCATTATACGCTTCCGCATTTACAACAAGTCCTACCCAGAGTTTAGCCTTGCAAAGATCCTAAGGGCTTTTCTCAGCCCAACAGTATCTTGTTTTAATCAATCTACTTTGCCCTCACATACCAGCGCAAGGTGGTTCAAGGACTTATCATTAAATGCTTCCGCTATTACATTGTTCCTACCCAGAGTTTAGTCCTGCAAAGATCCTAAGGGCCTTTTCTCAGCCCAACACACAATACAATGAATGATGCAATATTACATATCGGGCTAACCTAGCTAGGCGGGAACTTCGGGACGCGATGTTGGGTGCAGGTTGGGCAAAGGAAACCCGAAGGCGACGTGAGACAGCCTCGTCGTCAAAGTAAACAGCCGAACGCACACATTCTTGTTAGGATAAAGCATATTTTCTTACGCATACCGTACCGTACTAACCTGAGAGACCTTCAGGGTCTGGGAAAAAGTTCCCTCATCAATGTGTTTTCCTTCTACAACCCCGAATCAACGGGTTGACTCAACAATTTTGGGCCCTAGTGCAGAGCAGGGCAGATCCGTATGCTCTGCATAAGGGATCTCAATGCCCTACACTGCAACACAGCAATGCACCAATGAATGTGTACGTACTGCATCTTCTGTTAGTGCGCATGTCCGTGCCATCCCTCTCCCTACCATGCCCCTGTAGCCTCTCTGTGGCACAGCAATGCACCAAATGATGTGTATGCATATACTGCATGTTCTGCTAGTGCGCATGTCCATGCCATCCTTCTCCTTACCATGCCCCTGTAGCCTCTCTAGTGCACTGTGATCCCTTCCTGACGTATCCTCTTGCCGCATACGCTCACTTGCCATTCCCTGTTACTAGCCATTTGTTCTTACGAGTCTACAGCAACCGCCAGTCTCCTACTCCTCCTCTATCCTCCTCACGATGCATCCCATCAGTTGCCACTCCCACCAAAATCCTGCCTCCCACCCACTCCCCTCTCCTCTCTCCCATATCCCAGCAGTCTTTCCAGTGCGGTTTGGTCGATAGTCTGTAACACCCGTTTGTCATCCACCTCCTCCTCCTCCTCCTCCTCCTCCTCCACCTCCAGCCTCCTCCTCCTTCCTGCTGTATCCCATCATTTGCCACTCCCACCACCGTCCTTTTCCTGCCTCCCGCCCACTCCCCTCTCCTCTCTCCCATACCCCAGCAGCCTTTCCAGTGCAGTTTGATCCATAGTCTACAACAGCCATCTGTCATCCTCCTCCTCCTCCATCCTCCCCACTCCTGCTGCATCCTATCATTTGCCACTCCCACCACCATCCTTCTCCTGCCTCCCACTCATTCTCGTCTCCTCCCTCCCATACCCCAGCAGCCATTTTTGAGACGTCTCAAAAACAACCTCGCTTCACGTGGCTACTCCCATACCCCAGCAGCCGTTTTTTAGACGTCTCAAAAACAACCTCGCTTTACGTGGCTACTCTTTATCTGGTTCCTGTAGATTTCTGTTAGCGTGGAAATTACCTTCCCGCTTACGTCGAAGGCTGATACAATCGAGGATGCGACCTGTTACAACCGAAATTCTTCGCAGCTGAACTTTTGCGCGCGACATTTTGACCCAGGTTACCAGCCTTCCTGAAGACTCCAATTTTGGTTCCGAAGGATCGGGTCGGAGCTGTCTACTCACCTCGAGATTACATCTCACTCATCGCCTCATCACTCGCTCGTCATTTCATCCATCCCTGGTTAGCTGAGCTTTAGCGTAGAGTACTTTAGCTAGTCTATTCATTTCAGATTCTTATTCTCAGGCTTGTATGTACTGATGAAGGTTCGCAAGAACCGAAACTAGTTTACGCAAGTGCTGGATTAAGTTGACGTTTTGTTTAAACTGGCTCTCTAAGACAATGCTTTAAGCTCACAGTTAACCAGGAAATCCATCCATTCCATGGGGTTTGTCTCGTCATTTTAAATCACCATACAAGTTGATGGACGTAAGGCCTCCGCAGCCCACCTGTCTGCGTTCGACAACTCCTGCACAAGAAAATACGGTTGTGGCCAGAGGCAATTCATCTTCTTACGACGATTCATCTGACTCAGAGGTCCCTGAAGAGACCTCCCACTTCTTCGTTTTTCGCCCTACCAAGCGTCAGCGGGAAGAATCTGACGATTCTCTTCGGCTGGACAACGGGAAGTTTGAGTTTACCCCAGTACCGTACTCCAACGTTCACCCCAAGACTTTACGACGACAAACTTTTAAAACACCAAGAAGAATAGCTTTCGCATCTCCTGCTATGGCTGCTAACGTAGACGCTGCAGGTGATAATGTGATTCTAGGAGGTAATATCTCCCAAGGAACACTTGAAGCGGACTTGTCGCCAGATGGAAATGGACAAGAAGCAGGTCCTATGCTCCAAGATCAAGGATTATGCTTTGGCAACGATTTATGTCCGGCTCCTTTTAAAAAGTGGCAGCAAGATGCTATTACAAAGGCAATCAAGTCCTACGCTACATACTTAAGCCTCAAGCAGCAGGTCTCTAAAATGAAGATAATTGACAGCCGCGGAGATTTGTTACACAGTATCAGGACCAAGGCTGTTCAATTCCAGACCAACAACGAGGTTATTAAAAAGGCAGCTGATGACAAAATCTCCTCCCTTCACATTGAGGCTCTTAAGGAGCAGCAGAAAGTTTTCATTGAAGCGAAGGAGCAATTAATGGCTATGGCTTTCAATGAGGCCAATGGTGCTATCTCTCTATTGGTGGACAAATCTCAGCTTATATCAATGGCATTAAGGCCATGGAAGAAGATTCCCGACGGAATAAGGTTATTGAAGTCATGGAATTCTTCAGAGGCAAGCTAATCCAGGAGGCTAATACTACAATTGAGATACAGCAGACCAAGTCATTCATGGAATTTCATGAAAATCAGCGGCTGAAAAATGAAGCAGAGATGGTGAAGGCAGCAGCTCAAGAAGTACTCCAGAAAATGGAGACAGAACCCAGCATACGTGAAGTAGCCAAGGATGTTGTTGACTCAAAACTCTCCTCGGTTCTTCAACGTCTTGAGAAACTAGAGTTGCAGAATCATCCGTCTGGTAAGGGGAAGCAGCAGCAACAGCAGCAGCAGCAACAGTAGCAGGGACAGCAGCAGAAGCCACAGAAACAGCCGAAGCAGCATTTCCAGCAGCAGCAGCAGCAACCCCAAACACCTGTGACAGCAGAGGACAAGGGAGAGAAGAAGAAGAAGAAGAAGAAGAAGAAGAAGAAGAAGAAGAAGAAGAAGAAGAAGAAGAAGAAGAAGAAGAAGAAGAAGAAGAAGAAGAAGAAGAAGAAGAAGAAGAAGAAGAAGAAGAAGAAGAAGAAGAAGAAGAAGAAGAAGAAGAAGAAGAAGAAGAAGAAGAAGAAGAAGAAGAAGAAGAAGAAGAAGAAGAAGAAGAAGAAGAAGAAGAAGAAGAAGAAGAAGAAGAAGAAGAAGAAGAAGAAGAAGAAGAAGAAGAAGAAGAAGAAGAAGAAGAAGAAGAAGAAGAAGAAGAAGAAGAAGAAGAAGAAGAAGAAGAAGAAGAAGAAGAAGAAGAAGAAGTAGAAGAAGAAGTAGAAGAAGAAGTAGAAGAAGAAGAAGTAGAAGAAGAAGAAGAAGAAGAAGAAGAAGAAGAAGAAGAAGAAGAAGAAGAAGAAGAAGAAGAAGAAGAAGAAGAAGAAGAAGAAGAAGAAGAAGAAGAAGAAGAAGAAGAAGAAGAAGAAGAAGAAGAAGAAGAAGAAGAAGAAGAAGTAGAAGAAGAAGTAGAAGAAGAAGAAGAAGAAGAAGAAGAAGAAGAAGAAGAAGAAGAAGAAGAAGAAGAAGAAGAAGAAGAAGAAGAAGAAGAAGAAGAAGAAGAAGAAGAAGAAGAAGAAGAAGAAGAAGAAGAAGAAGAAGAAGAAGAAGAAGAAGAAGAAGAAGAAGAAGAAGAAGAAGAAGAAGAAGAAGAAGAAGAAGAAGAAGAAGAGGTGGTATAAACCAAAAAACGGAGGAGGCCCCGCAAGGGGCCAGCACAGCTAACAAGCACGGAGCTGGCGCTCCGCTGGTTCGGACGACTAACCGAGTCTCAAGCCAAGACACGGATCACCAACCACGGAGTGTTTAACCTGAGTTCCTACACCTTGACCCCTGCTGAACGTAGTGTACTAGGTTTAGGACTCAAGTTCGTTCTGCCGCATACTCCACCTTTTTCTCCTTCTGAAATCAATAACGATTTTTCCAATTTGTTCAGATCTATAAGGTTACAGGAGTTTTTCAAAGGAGCTGGACGTACAGACAGCCGATTCAGATCAGTAATCCTACTTGGTTACCCACTGAAGATGAGAAGCTGGAAGCTGTTTTCGAAGAAACCAGAAAGGACCTTACTCTTCTGTTATCTCGACCTGCAGTCCGTAAAGGGCCTTACTTCCCTAGGGGGTACTTTAAGGCCATCAACAGTCTCGCTGCTAACACCGACCTCATCATTAAGCAAGCTGACAAGAATATGGGAATTACCCTGATGGATCGAACGGCTTACATCCGCGAATGCCTTAACCACCTTCTGGACAAGAGCACGTATACAGAGATACTTACGTCCACAGCAGATTTTGAAGATCCACGGACTTCTGTTTTTGCTGAACTCCTGGACATTCGTGCTAACCGTGGACCCCTTCTCCCTAGATACCTGTGGTCTTATTTTGAGCACCCTCCGACGACAGGCTGGAAACCGGCCATTTTTTACGTTATCATGAAGGTGCATAAAAAGATTCCAGTTGGACGTCCGATTGCAGCTTCTCATTCATGGGTCACCGCGAACGTCAGTCGCTGGTTAGACACTGCACTCCGTCCACTGGTGCTCCAACAACCTACATACCTAAGGGACTCACTTTCGCTTCTCCTTCATCTGGAGAAAACCCCTTTGCCGAAGAAGCTCTTACTAGCTACTTACGACGTCCAAGCATTATACCCGTCAATCCCGCAATAAGAAGGTGTTGATGTAGTCCGCTCTTTTCTGGAACGAGACCCTCTTCATTTCCCTAACGCACATGTCATCGTAGCGCTTTTGGAGTGGGTCAGGTTTAACTCTTACGTGGACTTCGATGGTAGACTTTTCCGGCAGATCCAGGGAACGGCGATGGGAACCTCGGTTGCAGTGTGTCGCCATCCTTTACATGAGCCGATTGGACGAAATACTTTGAGCGCGCATGGGTCACAATGTCCCTCTCCTCCACCTCCGCTACATCGATGACGGATTCATCTGCTGGGAAGGGAGTAAGGAGGGATTGGAAGACTTCTTAGCAGCGTTCAGTTCACTTCGTCCCACTATCAAGCTCACCTGGACGATCTCGGAGACCTCTGTAGACTTCCTAGATCTCGTCATTCATAAAGGACAGCGTTTCCACAGCTCCGGTTTGTTGGACATTTCCACATTTCAGAAGCCTAACAATACTTACCTTTACGTGGCTACTTTTTATCTAGTTCCTGTAGATTTCTGTTAGCGTGGAAATTACCTTCCCGCTTACGTCGAAGGCTGATACAATCGAGGATGCGACCTGTTACAGCCGAAATTCTTCGCAGCTGAACTTTTGCGCGCGACATTTTGACCCAGGTTACCAGCCTTCCTGAAGACTCCAATTTGGGTTCCGAAGGATCGGGTCGAAGCTGTCTGCTTACCTCGAGATTACATCTCACTCATTGCCTCATCACTCGCTCGTCATTTCATCCATCCCTGGTTAGCTGAGCTTTAGCGTAGAGTCTTCTAGCTAGTCTATTCATTTCAGATTCTTATTCTCACGCTTGTATGTACTGATGAAGGTTTGCAAGAACCGAAACTAGTTTACGCAAGTGCTGGATTAAGTTGACGTTTTGTTTAAACTGGCTCTGTAAGACAACGCTCTAAGCTCACAGTTACCGTCACCCCCCGGATATAAGCGCCACCCTGGGATAAGCGCCTGGCGCTTGTAATTGGCGTATGGCGCTTATATCCCCTCCTCGATTATAAGCGCATACCCAAATGGCTTACGGATTATAAGAGCCACCATTTGTATTAGTTTTTATAAAGTTACTGGAATCTCTGTAGGGAAACACACTATTTGCATCATGACATTTTGAAATTTCGACCCTTCACCCTCGCGCGACTTACTGCCTCACCCTCGCGCGACTCACTGACTGCGCGTCCAGTCAGAATGAGCTGTCATGGGGCGAAATGACTCATTATGACTGTGTGTGTTGGCAGCTTGCAAACTTACGCGAGATTCTTGTTCACAACCCTCTATGATCTTGACTCGATTGAAATCGCAATGACAAGATGAACACTTTGGAGTGAAAACAACTAGATTTCATATATGTCATTATATAAGCCCCGGCGCTTATAAAAATCCTCGATTATAAGCCCACCCCCCTACAAAAACATGTTTTATTATACCCCCCCATGGGGGCTTATCCGGGGGGTGACGGTAACCAGGAAATCCATCCATTCCATGGGGTTTGTCTCGTCGTTTTAAATCACCATACAAGTTGATGGACGTAAGGCCTCCGCAGCCCACCTGTCTGCGTTCGACAACTCCCTCCCATACCCCAGCAGCCGTTCCAATGCACTTTGATCCATAGTCTTCAGCAGCCGCCAGTCATCCTCCTCCTCCTCCTGCTCCTTCTCCTCCATCCTCCAGCCGCCTATCATTCTCCTCCTCCTCCATCCTCTCCCCACCTGCTGCATGGATCACTTGCCACTCCCATCACCGTCCTTTTCCTGCCTCCCACTCGCTCCCGTCTCCTCTCTCCCATACCCCAGCAGCCGTTCCAGTGCACTTTGGTCCATAGTCTGCAGCAGCCGCCTGTCATCCTCCTCCTCTTCCATCCTCCTCATCCTCTTGCATGAATCACTTGCCATTCCCACCGCCACTCTTTTCCTGCCTCGTCTCCTCTCTCCCATACCCCAGCAGCCGTTCCAGTGCAGTTTGGTCCATAGTCTGCAGCAGCCGCCGGTCATCCTCCTCCTCCTGCTGCATCCTCTCCCAGCTGCTGCATCCTATCATTTGCCACTCCCACCACCATCCCTCTCCTGCCTCCCACTCATTCTCGTCTCCTCCCTCCCATACCCCAGCAGCCGTTCCAGTGCACTTTGGTCCATAGTCTTCAGCAGCCGCCGGTCATCCTCCTCCTCCTCTTCCATCCTCCTCATCCTCTTGCATGAATCACTTGCCACTCCCACCACCAACCTTTTCCTGCCTCCCGCCCACTCCCCTCTCCTCTCTCCCATACCCCAGCAGCCGTTCCAGTGCGGTTTGGTCCATAGTCTGCAGCAGCCGCCTGTCATCCTCCTCCTCCATCCTCCTCCTCCTTCATCCTCCTCTTAATTCATCAATCACTTGCCACTCCCACCGCCGTCCTTTTCCTGCCTCCCACTTGCTCCCGTCTCCTCTCTCCCATACCCCAGCAGCCGCTCGAGTGCGGTTTGGTCCATAGTCTGCAGCAGCCGCCTGTCGTCGTCCTCCTCCATCCTCCTCCTCCTTCATCCTCCTCTTAATTCATCAATCACTTGCCACTCCCACCGCCGTCGTTTTCCTGCCTCCCACTCGCTCCCGTCTCCTCTCTCCCATACCCCAGCAGCCGTTCGAGTGCAGTTTGGTCCATAGTCTGCAGCAGCCGCCGGTCATCCTCCTCCTCCTCTTGCTGCATCCTCGCTTTAGCCTGCTCCGCTACACTCTCTGCCAGAGCCTTTGCTGCTTCCTCCTGCCACGTGGACAGCAGTCATTGGTCGACAAGAGAGGGCAGCCACAGAGAGGGCAGTGAGGGTGGACATAGTTTAACCACGTGGAATAAGACGTGAGACGTCTCAAAAACAGTCTTACTTCACGTGACGTGGTAATGGTTGTGGTAGGTAGACATAGTTTTCGAGACGTCTCAAAAACACCCTCTTTTCACGTGGCATTTCACGTGATGACTTTCGAGTCGACTCAAAAGTCACCTCGTTACCATGGCATTTCACATGACGTGGTATTGGCCGTGGTAGGTAGACATAGTTTTCGAGACCCTCTTTTCACGTGGTATTTCATGCGACGTGGTAATGGTCGTGGGAGACATAGTTTTCCGGCGTGTGTGAAACAAGGCGAGTGTGAGGCAAGGCGAGTGTGTGAGGCAAGGCGAGTGTGAGGCAAGGCGTGAAATGGCCGATTTTTGAGTCGACTAAAAAATCAACTTACTACACAAGGCGTGACATGGCGCGCGTGTGTTACAGAGAGACCCTTGTCTTATGAGGCAACCTTTTTGAGGCGCCTTTTGAGTAGACCCAAAAGTCACCCCGTTTCACGTGACGTGGTAGTGGTCGCGGTAGACATGGTTGTCTGGCGTGTGTGAAACAAGGCGAGTGTGAAACAAGGCGATTGTGAAACAAGGCGAGTGTGAAACAAGGCGAGTGTGATGCAAGGCGAGTGTGAGGCAAGGCGTGACATGGCGCGCGTGTGTTACAGAGAGACCGTTGTCTTATGAGGCAACCTTTTTGAGGCGCCTCAAAAACGATGTGTGAGTGTTACAAGTCTTGCGGGTGTGTTACGTGTTACCAGACAACCCTGCAATCTGAGTGTCATCGATTGTCCTATGATACCACCATCCCACCTTTCACTATGCACCATACTCCCATCCCTCACCATCCTCACCATCCCCCCACCCCTCGCCAAGCTCCCACCCCTCGCCAAGCTCCCACCCCTCACCATGCCATCGAGCTGCTGCTTCAGCTGCTGCATCTCCCCCACCACTCGCCTCACATGCTCCAATGCTGTTTCCTCCACCACCTGTTGCTGTGCCACCCGCAGCGCCCTCAGCTGAGGAGGGAATGGGGGAGCAGGCACGCGCAACAGAGGGAGGAGAGACGGCTTTTGAGTCGACTCAGAAGGAGAGACGGCTTTTGAGTCGACTCAGAAGGAGAGACGGCTTTTGAGTCGACTCAGAAGGAGAGACGGCTTTTGAGTCGACTCAGAAGGAGAGACGGTGCCAACAGAGTGAGCAAGCAAACACTCCCCCACTACTCGCCTCACATGCTCCAATGCCGTCTCCTCCTGCTGCTGCTGTGCCACTATCGGCGCCCTCAGCTGAGCAGAGTGGGGATAAGATCGGAGAAGAGGGACGGAGGAGAAGGAAGAGAGAACGAGCGGCTGCATCTCCTCTACCACCTGCTGGAAGGGGAGAAGAGGGGAGACGAGGGGAGTAGAGGGGAGACAAGGGGAGAAGAGGGGAGACAAGGGGAGAAGAGGGGAGAAGAGGGGAGAAGAGGGGAGAAGAGGGGAGTAGAGGGGAGACGAGGGGAGAAGAGGAGGAGGGAACCAAGAGAAGATTTGTTTTTGAGACGTCTCAAAACAAATCTTCATACACGGAGGAGAAGCAAGAGCGAACGAGCGGCTGCATCTCCTCCACCACCTGCTGGAAGGGGATAAGAGGGGAGACGAGGGGAGAAGAGGGGAGACGAGGGGAGAAGAGGAGGAGGGAACCAAGAGAAACACAGTTTCACTAACATTCTGTCCGACACCTATTCTGCCCGACACCTATTCTGCCCGACACCTATTCTGCCCGACACCTATTCTGTCCGACACCTATTCTGTCCGACACCTATTCTGTCCGACACCTATTCTGTCCGACACCTATTCTGTCCGACACCTATTCTGTCCGACACCTATTCTACCCGACACCTATTCTGTCCGACACCTATTCTGCCCGACACCTATTTTGCCCGACACCAATTCCGCCCAAGACTTATTTTGCCCGAAACTTATTCTCTCCGACACGCCGCGTCGCTTCTCACTGCAGCCACTCAGAGACCTGCCGGCCCTTTTAAAAATTCTTCAAGTCCGGCGGAACCACATGATTCCTCATGTGATTCCTCATGTGATTCCTCATGTGATTCCTCATGCCCCTTGCGATCCAGCACGCTGCTTTTGACAAGTCTCACCTTAGGGGCTTCAATTTGCACGCACTCGTGTGCTGTGCGGATGCCGCTCTCAGTACCACTGCTGAACCAGACGCCTCTCGTGACTTTTGAGTCGACTCAAAAGTCACCTCTTTTGACAAGTCTCACCTTGAGGGCTTCACTTTGCACTCGTGTGCTGTGCAGATGCTGCTCTCAGTACCACTGCTGAACCAGTCGCCTCTCGTGCGCGTGCGCATAAGAGTGCGTGTCTCGCTCGCCCTAGCGGCTCCGACTCCCCCTTTTTCGTGAAATACACCCACGCGTGCATCCCACACGACCGGCCCTCACCGCTTCGTACTGGACCAGATGCCTCTACTGTGTGCGTCTCGCCTTAGCGGCTTCGAATTGCAATCTCTTTGTCTGTCGCGCCAGCTCTGAATCCCCCTTCCCCGTGAAGAGCACCCACGCGTGCATCCCACACGACCAATCCTCACCGCTTTTTACAGGACCAGGTGCCTCTCGTACTGCTTTGAGAAGCCTCACCTCACCTTAGCGGCTTCGAATTGCAATCTCTTCGTCTGTCGCGCCAGCTCCGTATCTCCCTTCCCCGTGAAGAACACCCACGCGTCGCGCACCATGCGCAGCGCGCGAATCATCCCGACCTTCTGCGATTTCCGCGATTTCCGCGATTGCCGCGACTTCCGCGAATTCCGCGATTTCCGCGATTGCCGCGATTGCGATTCAGCAGCATGCAGAAACGTGCAGAAAAAAAAACGACGAGCAGAGCTGTGAATGAGCCTAGCAGCACGCGAAACGAGCAGAGCTGTGCATGCGCCTATTTAACTGAGCGGCAGGCTCCCTCTCTCGTCTCCCAGTTCCCTGCTATCCCTCCTCTCCTCTCCTCTCCTCTCCTCGCCTCGCGTCGCCTTTCCTCGCCCCCACGCTATTCTTCCCCTCCGCCTCGGTGGATAGCACCGAACGAAACTATTTCGAGTCGATGCAACAAAAAAAAAAAAAAAACGAAACTGTTTCCGAGTCGACTAAGGACGCGGTAAAAGTGCTCGATCGGGGGGAGATCGATCCTGTCACCGCACTAAAACCTTGCGTTTTGCATACGGAAAGTACACAACCGTTTACAACCGCGCCAAAAAATGATCTTGAGGCGATCGATTCTCTACTTTTACCGCGTCCTAAAAGATTCGTCTGTTTTTCCCTCCGGCACGGTGAGTACTCAGCGAAACGGTGGCGACGATTAGGGACAGGAATGCGCAATAAGCGTCTCGATTGCGGTGGAAAGCGGGGCGCGTGGAGCGTGGAGGGCCCGGTGAGGTGACGAGCTACGCGAGTGGAGCGGCGGGTTGAGCGGCGGGTTGAGCGGCGGGTTGAGCGGCGGGTTGAGCGGCGGGTTGAGCGGCGGGTTGAGCGGCGGGTTGAGCGGCGGGTTGAGCGGCGGGTGGTGCGGCGGGGGTCGTTATGGTGAGTGGATTGCCTTATCTTGGGGATTGTGGGTTTCGTGATGTCGCTACACCGAGCTGTATCGCTTCTCACCGTTTTGAGAACCACCCTGTAAGGTTATGGAGCGATACGATCTTCAAAATAAAATGCATTCCAAAATACATAGTTTAGTCTCTTTATTTAGTAACAAAAAAGTTTTTTATGGATCATTACGCTACCTGACCACGTAGGGATGAAGTGTTTCGCTGCCTCACTCCTTCCATCCGCCCAGGGCTGACACTATCAGACTGAATAGTTTGATTAATCTGACGTTAATATGACGAATCAGACCTTTGATTTGAGCTCCTGTCCCCTGATTTTTCAGATTCGAGTGATTTTTTAACCCTGATTAATTCAGCGGGGCCAATGCTTGATTGCTGTAGTTGCAGCACAACCCTCCTCTTTTCTGCTCCTACACCAGCCGTAGCTGTACCGTGCATGCGAAGTATGGTAATGTGCTGCCAATGCTTTATAGTGAGTTCCTCAATACACCATATTGGACAGCAAATACTAGTGCCCTCCCCTCTTGTGTTCGGACACCAGCTGCTGCTGCACATCCTGAGGCACGGCACTGTGCTGCCAGTACTCCATAGTGAACTCCCCTTTACCCTGTTGCACATAGCATGCACAAATTCAGGTAAGCCACAGGCATAAAACGTCAAAGCACAAGACGAGGGTCCCCAACGAAATCTCCATAACCCCCAAGGAGAGAACCCATGTGTCATTTTTTTAAGCTTTATGAAAACATATCACATCGATTCATTACTGCTGCAGCGCATCACCATCGCTGTGCCATGTCATATACTAATATCTCATGATGGCATTACCACTCTCATGCCATTTTGCAAATCCCATGTCACTTCACGGACCTAATGCCATGATTCTATTCAGCCCATACCATATTGTGTTGCACCGATGTTCCTTCCACCACCACCACCACCATCACCACCATATACCATCACATATTCCTCTCACCCATCCCAATGCTATTCCACCCATCCCATGCGCGCACCTGTGTCATGGAGCGAAGGTCAGTGGAGTAGCCAAACATATTGTTCAGTGGGACCTGCAGTTAGGAGAGAAAAGGGGAAAAGGGGGGAAGAAACAGAGGGGCACGGTAGAAAAGAATGGGAGAGGATAAAAGGGAGAGTTAAGGAAGCGTTGGTAACAAACCCGAGCGTTGAAGGTGACATCATTCCCATCCTGCTCAGTGCCCGCAATAATGCCCTTGCGCCTGATTATGGTTGCGCATGCATAAACACATTTTTGGTTCGACTCAAAGGTCAAATCTGGGCCTTGATAGTATCCCACCTGAGCGTTGATGGTAACCCAAATTGGTGTTTATCAGAACACACCTGAGCGTTGATGGTTATGTCGTCCCCATCCTGCTCACTGCCCACTATTATGCCCTTGCGCCTGATCAGGATTGCTCATGCATACACACATACACATGCACATGCACAGACACACATGCACATGCACAGACACACAGAGGCAGTTGGCAATCAAACACACACACATAAATGCAGGACACCAGAATAGAAAGAACAATTTTTTTTTTTTTTTTTTTTTTTTTTTTTTTTTTTTTTTTTTTTTTGTGTAAGAAAGAAAGGAAGGAAGAAAGAACAGAAGCTTCTCAATCATGCAACATGACAACATCAGGTGGAGCCACTCTGCTTCACTGTTCACAACCAAAAATGTATGCTCAACTCTGTATGTGAGACATTCTTACAAAATTCCCAAACCTTTCTCCTCAGTTCTCACCTGTTGATGTTCCCAATGATCGTTCCTTGAAACTCCACTGGAGCCTTCACCTCCACTGCCATCACGGGCTCTAAAATCACAGGCCGTGCCTTCTCATAGCACTGCAATGGGGAGGTGGGAGGTGGGAGGTGTGGGGAGGTGGGAGGTGCGAGAGAGATAGGAAATGGGAACTCCATCGGAACCTTCACCTCCCTCCACTGCCATCACCGGCTCCAGAACGACTGGACGGGCCTTCTCATAGCACTGAAAGGGGGTTACGAGCTACGGGGGGGTACGGAATGAGGAGGAGTAGGTTGGGGGTAGTCAGGAGTGGTTGAGGGTGGTGGGGAGATGTGGGAGAGGGGATCAGAACTCCATCGGTGCTTTCACCTCCACTGCCATCACGGGCTTGAGAATGACTGGCCGGGCCTTCTCATAGCACTGCATGGAAGTTGAGGAGACGTAGGTTGAAGGTGGTTAGCGGTGGTTGAGGGCGGTTGAGGGTTGTTGGGGGTGGTGGGGATGTGTGAGAGAGGGATCAGAACTCCACTGGTGCTGTCACCTCCCTCCACTGCCATCACGGGCTTGAGAATCACAGGCTGCGCCTTCTCATAGCACTGCACGGGAGGGGTAGGGAGGGGTTGAGGAGTAGAGGAGACGTAGTGGTTGGGAGTGGTGCGGAGGTGTGAAAAAGGATCAGGACTCCACCGGTGATTTCATAGCACTGCATGGGGGGTATGGGGTTGCGAAGGCAGGTGTAAGGCATGAGAGGCAAGGGGTAAGGGTAGGTAGGATAGGAACACAGTGGCGGTTTGGGGGGGGAAGGAGGAGAAGGCATATATAAATAGATATACGAATCTACAATAGGTATATGTACATAGCTGCATGCACCTGTCTGAAGGCGTAGAGAGCTGCGAGCTTGAATGCCAGATCACTGCTGTCAACCGCGTGGGAAGCACCGTCGTTGAGCACACAGCGGATGTTCACCACTGGATGGCCGATGAGGCCGCCACTGGAGGGAAGAGAAGGGAGGGAGGGAGGGGAGCAGAGAGACAGGACGACGTGGAAGAGTGAATGAGAGGACACACAGAGAGTCACGAGGGGGCATGAGAAGCACCGTCATTTAGCACACAGCGGACGTTGACAGCTGGATGGCCGATGAGCCCTCCACTGTGAGAAAGAGAAGGAACGGCGAGAGGAAGAGACAGCACACAGGAAGGAAGCAGTCTATCAGTGAGCGATGAGAGCACACGGGCCGGTGGGGGAAGCACCACGTGCTGCCAGTGCCATGTCACCATTATATCCACTCACCTGTTGCTGTTGGTTGCTACCCACCTGTTGGCGGCTTCCAGCAAGCGTTCTCAAAGCCCGGAAAGCAGTTGGAGGGGATGGCCGTGCTTCGGTGCTGTGCCACTCTATTTCCACCCACTTCCATTCTCACCTGTTCGCTTCTTCCAGGAACCCCTTCACAATGCCGGCGAAAACATTGGAGGGAATGGCCGTGCTGCCAGTGCTGTGCTATCCGCCCGCGAGTCTGCGACCACTCCCCGTAACTGCTCCCACTGATCAGGCTATGACTGATCAACGCCCACCCACCTGTTGGCCGCCTCCAGGAAGCCCTGCTCAATGCCAGCGAAGAAGTTGGAGGGAATGCCAGTGCTGCCAGTGCTGTGGCACTTAATACCCACTCACCTGTTGCTGTTGGTTGCTACCCACCTGTTGGCAGCTTCTAAGAAGCCCTTCTCAATGCCGGCAAAGAAGTTGGACGGAATTGCCGTGCCGACGATCTCGTTGTCAAACACCACTTTTGAGTCCGACCCCGATGCGTCTTCCAGAGGTTCGATGTAGCTGGTGGGAGAGATGTGTGAGGAAAAAGGGGGAACAGGAGAAAGTGGATGGGTGAAATCAGATTAGCTTTTTGAGACGCCTTGATACATGATGGTGCCGTGCCGACGATCTCGTTGTCAAACACCACTTTTGAGTCCGAGCCCGACGCATCTTCCAGAGGTTCGATGTAGCT